TGTTTAAACTACCCAGGTGTTTAGATTCGGCCCAGTTTTTGGTCACGTGAATATCAGACATTAGATACTTTGACCAAATATTAGGGCCAAACCCAGAACACCACCCGGGGTTTAATCATTAAAAAAGTACCAAAACTAGTTTGAACCTTTTTAGAATCCATTTGTGTCATATGACTTACCCAAGTCCATTATTATTATTATTATTATATTATTATTATTATTATTATTATTATTATTATTATTATTATTATTATTATTATATTGAACACATAAAGTATTCAGTAGTAGTTAATGTCAGTCATTCCTATCACAAAATTATAAATATTTTTTAAATCAACATTAGCAAGAAAACATTTTTTATGTATATATTCTGATGTCCAGAAGAATGCAAACAGTCTTTTGTGGCCAAAAAAAAAGAAGGTGGATTGTGAACCACTGACACTAGAGGGCGCTGTTGCTGCTGCTCCATCTTTTAACCACGCAGGGCAAAAATGAGAAAAGACAGCAGCCCAGCCTGAAAGCTGCTGCTGGTGGGGGATCATCACGGCTGAGTCCTGCAACAATGGCAGACTGTAATTTATTGTAGAAATGTGAGAACAGAGCAGAGTCTTCATGTCCGTTTGGCTGATTTATGGGATCGTGAGCAAACATTTGATGCTGACACCATAAATAATAAATGAAGATTGACATTTTCTCATTCCCAACAGTCATTCCATATTTGTTTCTTTCTACTTGATTTGAAAAAGAAATCACTCTTAATTCTAACCGATAATTAAATATAAATCAGGTGTGTTTTTCAAACACACCTGATTTTGTCTTGTATTTTCTGTTTTCTGCTACACAGTGAAGCAACCAACATGTTTAGGCGACATCATGCGATGTGTATTTTCGTGTATTTTGCAGTTATTTAAAGAAAAAAGTGGAACCAAAATTCTGCGAGCAAAACTCCATGTTTACACTCCATGTCAACAATAACAAACATTTTGAGTTTTATAGTGACAGCAGCAGACATGTTTGGCTAGTGACAAACAGACTTTTGCAAACGTGTAAAAGCAACAAAAGCAGAACTTTTTGTTCCAGTCACATGTGTCACAGGGGACGGCTGTTGCGGTCGCGCGACATGCTGTGGCTGTGTGGCAGAGTTGTCCTCTTGCAATCGGAAGGTTGTAGGTTCGATGTATGTGCCTCTGTCGATATGCCTCTGGGCAAGGCACTTAATCCTAAATTGCCTACCGGTCTGCGTTTGGTGTATGAATGTGTGTGTGAATGGGTGAATGTGACTCTAGTGTAAAGCGCTTTGAGTGGTCAAAATGACTGGAAAAGTGCTATATAAGTTCAGTCCATTTACCATTCTGTTTACAAAAGGTGTGATGAACTAAAGACCTTGATGTTTGGCCCAAATCAAACAAAAGATGCCGTCAAAATGCTACAGTTAGCTTAGCATCACAGAGCAGCGTGAACGAAGGTTGATTCTTTTCTTACAGACATATTCATTCACAGCTTTCTTCAACTTTTTTTTTTGTTTTTTTTGTCGGATCATCAGATTTTAAAATCAAACGACAAACTGAGTCATTACAAGAAACCACTTTAGAATGGCAAAAATGCTTTAACTTTTATAAAAAGTTTTTTTTTTTTTACATATTTGTTGAGACTGTCACAATGTTGTGATCATGTGTTATGATACATATAAGCTATGAAAAGATTGATCTCCTCCCTGAGCCACTATTGCCCGCTCCCGACCAAAAACAACCAATCAGAGCCAGTTGTGCCCAAGACCACCTCCAATACAAAAACACGCCTCAAATCATCATCCAAGAGCAACTTTGGGAACAGTTTGGGAACAGTCTGAGGATTTTCCTGCACGATGTAGTGCTTCAGTGTGTCGTGATACTTATATTGTATGAACGGTGTATCAACATTTTGAACTTCTGTCCAGAAAACTCGCCAGATTGTCAAGCAGAGTCCGACAAAAACTTTGATCTTCTCCAAACACTAAAAAACTTTAGACTTTCCTTAAGTAAGGTGAGTTTCAACGTGTCAGAGAAAAACAATTGTTATTCAATTCAACTCAATTGAACAAAACCTTATTCAACCGTTTATTTCTTTCTCTGCAGGTGAAGTGCTGCACTCAGCCTCTGCAGGTCATACAGTGAAGTTATTTTCCCACGCACGGATCCAAACGTCAGTTTCAGACCCACTGCCATCGACCAGCTTCAAGCCTGTCGTCTCCCTCTGCCACAGGATGATATACCGCAGCAGCTCCAGTCGATGCGTGTGCGGCGGCCGCAGTATCTTCTCAATACATCTTCCGAGTCCTATGAACATAACAGATGCGGGGTCATGAATCAAAGGTCCTAAACCACCCATCTAGCTGATCTGTTCCACAGGCGCTCCTGTCCGATCCCGCCCGGATCCAAAACACGGACACGTTTTTCACACACACACACACACACACACACACACACACACACACACACACACACACACACACACACACACACACACACACACACACACACACGCATACACACACACACACACACACACACACACACACACACACACACACACACACACACAGAGCCGGAGAGGCTCCCCTCCAAAACCGAGCCCGTCCTCTGTGGATCCGTCCTGCCTGACCCAGCTCTACGTGTGAGCCCTGGCCTCGCGTGAACCGAGTCTGTGAACGCAACGACCCCATCGGATCGACCGAGGAGAGCGTGTTAAAAAAAAAAATAATTCTGCACCGCATATCAAAGCATAACTCATGGACCCCTCGAGTTGGCCCGCTTCAAATTAGAGAAGCATCAAAGTGCGCAGGCGTTTGAAAAATGGAGATCACACATGTTTCAAATATGTCTGAATTTTAATTGATAATAAACGGTGCTTTTCTAGACCCCGAGCCACACGTTAAAGTAGTTAAAAGTTTTTTTTTAATAGACATAATGTTGGAGAAATAACTGACAGTGTGTTGTTTTCTCTTTTTTTTCTCTTTTCTTTTTTCCTTCCTTTTTGTAAATGCTGGTTGTTTTGTTTTTAATAGTTGGAACTCCTCTCCTCAGCTGAACTGTTGGTCGTAGCTATAAATGTTTGGCTTCAGTTCAATGCGCTCGAAGACACCAGGTTTGTGCAAATGAGCCGATGTGGAAATCATTACGACCACCCGTGACGCTCACTCCGTCCATCCTCTGCGTGCCTCCGAGGCAGATCTGACGCGGCGCCACGCTGCGGCGGCGCGCTGCGGCGGTACCTGAAGATATCAGAAGTCTGGGACCGGGTGCCGATTTTTCCATCACATCGTTCATCGTCGTGTTTAGATGCGGACGATGTGCAGAGACGTTCCGGATCGTTCTGAACTGCCAAACTGAAATCTTTGAAAAAAAAAAAATCAATGTGGTGGTTTTCATCTTTTTGATAATCATGCATTTTTAAGCCTTCTAAATCTAATAAAGACCACTGCAAAGGTGACCTTCTGAAACAAGTTCAAAAATATAGAAACGTTTTTCTCGCAAGAGGCAAAAGAATCTACCGAAGGAACTCGTGCTTTTTGATCAATATTTAATAATTATCGACTTACACGTCTGTATTTAGATGACAAGTTATTTGCATATTAGTTTTATTTCGCTTGAAGTAAAATGAAGTCAAGTATTGTTGCTGTGGAAAGCAGACAGAAACACTTGGTAGGTGTTTTGGGTCAGAACATCCTTCAACTTTAAGTGAACATTGGACCTATCAAAATACGCATTTAATAGATCTATTATTAAATGCATTATCAAATGATTTGTGACCAAAGTCCTTCTATTCTCTAAAAGAGAAGGAATTTCACCAAAATCCAGTGTTTTTTTTTTTATCCATACAATGAAAATTATTCTGGAGTTTTCATTGGATGTGATTGTAATCCCATCCTTACAGCGAGAAGAGTAGTGACCGCTGCTGGCATTATAACAACACCTGACATAAAGGGAAGTTTTTCCAACAACTTCTGAAAATAATGAATTTATTGCAACATAACTAGATGAAAACAGCTGAAACAAAATCTTGACATGTGTGAGCCGGGGTGTGGCTTTCAGCTGTCTGAACAGGTTAGTGATGTTTTAAAGAAAACAGTTTAAGAAGTATGTGAATAATATTTGTGGTCAAAAACACAACTTATATGTGACAGCGGAGCACACTGCTGGGTTCAAGATGATAAAAATGACCTTGACACAACTTAAATCAGATTTTTTTTTTCAGTTTATACATTTTAACGTAACCTTTGGACCACAGCTTTCCTATTTTCTTACATTAATGACTCAACAACAGCGTAGAGTAGAAACTGAGCAAAGAATGCAGATGTTTGACTTCTGTGATGTTAAGTTGAACGACACATTTCGTAAATAAAAGCATTTCCATTTGGCAGCTGTGAGGTTCATGCTGCTCGTCATTTTGTCATTGGATCCCAAAGTGCTGCAGATGTAATATTTCTCCACTCAAACAGCAGCCGGTAAAGGAGCTCTGCAGTTGCGGTAATGTCCTGCCTCCATCGCCGGTGTGGATGGGGGAAACAGAATCTCATCTGGGAAATGGAACACCCTCGTCGAAGCCCACCAAGGCCTTTTCCTCGGAACCCAGAGGAGCCTGTTGGCACCGCATGAAACACATAACTCCTCTATGGGAGTGGATCTGAGGTTTACTACTCGGGCTCCTCACCCAATTAGGCTGGACCTCGCAGGCAAATCAAAATAGGGTGAGGCTTTTTTACAATGCCACTGGGGTCTTTAGAATGAATGGTTCTGTTTTGAAGTTTTTTAGGGTAAGCTTTGAGTCGGCTGGGAATGTGCGACTCCCAAGTCTCTTTTATCAGCCTGTCAGATCGACGGAGCACAGGAAGCATCACTATGTGTGTGTGTATTTTATGCACACAGCAAAACACTTTAGAAAAATCCATTTATTTATAAAGATATTACGTACACGACAAAATGCAAAGCCTACATGGCAATAAATAGCCCCAAAAGAAAAGTTGATAAAAAAATAAAAAAAAGTACAAAATTGGTTGTAAAAGAAACAACAGAGTTGTAATGACAAATAATTTTTAATCAAACAAATCAAAGCTTATATTATGTTTAACAGGTACTTTGGTTTGATATAATGTGTATATACAAAGTTCTGGATTAGAAGTAGAGTTTTAATAATAGACTTTACACATACAATGCCATTTAAATTATATAAAAATAGAAAAAAAGATCTGTTCTCCATTCTGCTGGAAGACGTGAAAAGTAATAATTAGTAATAAGCTGCAGTGCAATGAAATAGGATGGGCCCCAGTATATTTCTGTTTGGTTCTTTTTGGTTCATTTACATTCTTGGTATCACAAATTCTATTTTTACATCGGAAAGAAAACAAAAACCACTAAAGCATTAGGATTACAAATGGCTCTGTAACCGTTTCCACACTGAGACGTTGATTGAAACCAAGTTTCCAAAGAAATATGGTCGATTACAGGAATTTTACTATTTAGCATTTGTTACATTTTGTCATTTTAAAAATTTGTTCAATGTTACAGTTTCACAAATTTTCACCTTAAACAAGGTTGATTTTTTTACTCTTTTATAAATAAAACAATTTGACACTGCATTTAAATGTTATCAGGCTTTCGTTGGAGACCCGAAACCATTAGGTTCGACTAAAGTAAAAGCAAAATAAATCCCCAAGGCAGATGCCTGTTCACAGCACAATAAGACAAAAGTTAAGGACATCTCCGTCCTATATCATTAAGAGAAACAGAAACTAAAATATACAAGATCCTAGATGAACACGATACAACTGGGCACAAAAAATGAGCAGAGAACTCCAAGAAACATAAACTTTCCAATCAAAATATTCAAACAACGCCTCATTGAGGTCGAGCTCACAACAGTTAGTTCAGTTTTGTCAAGTCTACGCTTTGTGCAGTGAGAAACCTACTGAGGGCTGTTGGTGATTGCTTTGAGGATGTCGCAGGTGTTCTTCGAAATCACCTCTTTCAGTTTCCGTACCCGGCGGGGACTGGAAGTGCCCACGTAGCTCTCGGGCTGGAGGACGGCCATTCCTTCGCTGACGTTGCCCATGATGATGACCTGACCTTCCGCGGCCGCGGCCGTTATGTTTGGGCATGGGCAGGTCCAGTCCATGTTGAGGAACGTGACTTCGAGAGGTTCTTTGCCGAAGAAGCGCAAACCCATCTTCTCGTCCTTAAAGATCTCCTCCACAGTCACGAGGGCGTGGCCTGAGTCTTTCTCTTGCGTAATGTCCGTCATGCGGCCCAAGACCACAAAGTCGCTCCTACAGAAGCTAGTCACTATCTTGCCTCTTGGCTTGCAAGCCTTGCACTGGTGGTTTCTGGGGAAGGGGCACATCTCCTCGCAGAGCTCTTTTGACTCAAAGTTGTTGTCATTTCCCTCACAGCCTCCATAGATGAAGGGCTGACACTTGCCCATGGTGGTAATGTACGCCCACCGCGGCTCATAGGCCTTACAGCGGCCCTGCAGGGCAGGCAGTCCGCAGGGCCTGGACAGTTCTGGCCCACAGCACTGCATGCAACTCTCGTATGTGTCAAACACCTTTCTGAGTGACTGGTCGTTGCTGCTGCGGCAGTGTCTGAAGGGAAAGCAGTTGTTGGATTTGGGCTCGTAGTACCAGCTGACTTTCTCCAGCTCTGTTCCACAGTCCTCCTGGCTCTCAAAGGGGTTTTGGCATTCTTCAGTGAGGCACCCTCTCAGGTTCTTGGGCCCCGGAGTGCTGAACACCTCTGCTGAGAGCACAGTGAGTGGGTGATGGGCCTGGACCGAACCAGACGGGTTCCAAGCCATGCAGGTATAAACCCCAGAATCTTGCAGCCGGGCATTATAGATGACCAGCTGGCCAATGTTTGTGACCACCATGTTCCCCAACACAGTATTGGGTCTCATGATCACCCTCATGACTCCCAAGGGCAGCTGTTTCTCCCACGTGATCTGAGGCTGAGGTTGACCGGTGATATCACACAGGAAGCTGGCTGTTTGGCCCACGTTTATGGTCTGATGAATGGGGCTGGTGACCAACGTGGGTTGTTCAGGTTCCATCGGTAGCAGGACGGTGGGCTGAAAGGAGGCGGTCGTAGGACGAAGTGTGGTCATTTGGGGAAGCGAAGGGCTCGTGTTGGGCCAGGTGAGGTGGAATTGACACGTGACAACCGAGAGGGTGATGCCCTTAGAACACGCCTCTGCATCCATGAAACACTTGTTGTAGTAAGTCATGCCATCTGAGGCGCAGGTGAAGTTCGGCTCCTTCTCGCAGCGGTCCCGGCATTTACATGAGGGGTGGCCGTCCCAGATGACACACTCGGAGCCCTGCTGGGTGCACATGAAGCCGGCACACGATGCTTCTCTGGGCACTCCCACAGGGCCATTCTTCCCATCCACGTAGCGGGCAGCAACGCAACTGTGGTTCCCACAGACATTTTGGCAACACTTTTCAAAGGACTCACACTCCTGTAAGAATCAAAGAGAAAATTGCTCATGAAGGATGTTTGGTGCATGCGGTGGATTTTACAAGTGAGGAGCAGAAAGTGCCTCGCACAGTGCAATCAACAAAAACAATATGAAACCTTGCAAAGCAGCCCAACACCCAGAGCTTTCTCATATTTTGTCAAGTTGCAAACTCATTTACTTGGATTTTATGTGAAAGGCCAAAATAAAGTATCACATCATTTCAAGGTGGGTGTTAAACAAGTCTTGATTTTCTGCGTATTTCTTTTTAAAGAAATATTAACCTTAGGCATGGATTCTATTCAGCTTGCTATACCCATAAATAAAATCCACTGCAATTAATTACCTTCAGACCTCAGGTAACTTGACCTACAGAGGCCAATGGTGTGTACTTTACTCTTATTGTCAATCAAGATGTTTTGTAAAGGACTTAAGACTCTCTCATGTTTCATCCATAGCCAAACAGTTGATGCCGTGTCAAAGGGTTGCAGGACATTTGTATTTACACACAAACCTTTAATACATGACACACACCATCTGGGGAACACTCCTTCCGTTTCAGTAAACGTCATGGTTTCAGGAGTCTTACAGATGAACACGTATAAATTCACTGAATAGGTGGAGGCAGGGACAATGTTGGCTGAGCATGATAAAATGATAATGTCATTTGACGAAGAATGGTACAAATGTACCTAATTCCTCAATTTGAATGATCTACATGATAACGATCCCCCGTCTACTTCCTGTTGCCGTCTTCTTTGTGGTTTGCGCCAGTGGTTGGTGATCATAAGAAAAAAGTGTCTCCATTGCAGAGGAGCAGCCGATGGCGCCAAGGTAATGGGAATGACAGATCTACTATTAGTTGTGCACTAACAGGAGAGAAACACTGTTGAAAAAAGTTCAGTTTCAGATGATAAACGTGAGAGATCAAATTTGAAGGTTCAGGGCGGCTTAGAAAATACTGTGTGACAAGAAAACTAACAAGCCTAAAACATGGAGGTGGCTGCATCATGGCCAGGCAGACTGACAGGAAGCTGGTCAGTCATCAGAGTGATGCATGGGGTGACAACTGGTCAGAGGTGGAGCCTGACCATAAATTTAAAGGCAGATAAATAAGGAAATAGTGCAGCTCATTCTGGATGTGGGTGTTGAGAGTGGCCCAGTCAAAGTCCATATTTAAATCATGTTAAGAATCAGTGGTACTCTGACTGAGCTTTAGTTTTTTTTTTTCCTTTCAAAATATTTGGGGCTGAAGGCGCACACAAAAAAATTATTTGTAAAATAAATGTAGAAGGAAAACCGGAAGACCGTGATGTGTCGATTTCCGTTTATATTGCAATTATGTAATAGCCTACTTATGTATCGGTTTTTCAATCTGTATTCATAAGCAATAAAAACATGAACAAGTTTAAAGGGTGTGAATACTTTACAAAAACACTTTATAACCATGAAAGTACAGATATCAAACTTTAAATCTCCTCTGCAAGTAAACTACCTCATCAGATTCACATTCCCGCGTGCAGGTGCTCATGGCATCCACCCACAGGTTGGAGTTCATCTCATTGGGGCAGATGCCCGCGTGCGAAGAGGTGACACGGGGCAGAGCCGCGCCGCCGAGCTCCATCCGCGCGGACGCGCACGCCAGGAACCAGATCCACCGTGGAAACAGCATCCGGCGCATCTCAGCTCGACAAGTGGTGAAGATCGGAGACAAGAGCTGCGGGTCTGGGATCCAGCTCTCCCCCCCGCCCCCAGCCCGCCTTTAAGAAACACGGACACTTGTTCAAAGAAATGCCGGGCGACTGGAAGCGACCCGATGCGGTCCGAGCCGATGAGTCCCGGTGAAGTCGCGCTCTGCTCTCCGCGCGCTAATCTGCGGCCATCGCTCGCGATGAGACAATTAGGAGTTGCTCCTGCGATGCGGGAAGAAGCTTGTTTTAATAAGTCGGAGCTCCACTTTGGGGCTGGGGGCCGAGCGGGGGCACCTGCCTGTTAAAGGGGTTGCTGGTAACCCCGTTTAACCCTTTGCGGTCTCCGGCGGCGCCAGGGCGCGCGGCGCGCCAAGACGCGCAGGAGTTCAGGAAGGGAAACGTGTTGCCTTTTGGAGACGACTGATTTAACGACTGCTGAGATTAAAACCAGATGTCCCGTTTATCCGCGGTCTTAAGGTGGAAATGAAAAATGAAGAGCTTTGCTCCGGAGGAGGAAGCGGAGGAGGAGGAGGAGGAGGAGGAGGGATGTCGACGCCGCTCGTCCTGCGGCAGAAGGTCAGGCTGACTTCACGCGCGTCGGTCCGGGATGACTGAGTCGTTAAATCCCGTGGCGGATTTACAGCCGTTTCTCAGTCAAACATGCAACTCTCCTGAGCAATAATAAATTTTGAACATAAAAAAAAATCACATTAGCTTCAATTTTCATCAGAAGGTCCAAGGCATGAAGTATCCATGACCTTCTCAGTAAAATGTGTGCATATGTTGGTGTCAAAGCAATAAAAGTCTTTCTTGTGGTTTTCGTTATTTTTATGGCACGTCTTGGTTAATAATCGCCCACTGCTCAGATCTGTGCCATCAGCCTAATCTTTCTGTCTCCATCCGAAAGGTTTTAGTTTGGGACCCAATAAGGTTCAAAGGTGAATTCAAATCCACCTGGCATTGGAAAATCAAACACGCTCCACGAATCCACGTCAGTTTGTGACAAACAGAGACTCAAGTGGATTTTAGTTGGAATCCGTGACACTGAAATGACATCAAAGATGGAAAAAAAGAATCATAAAAAGTTAAAGAAACCTAACTGGTAGAACGTAAATGATCTTATTAAGGCTCGATTGTGATAAAGGAAGGTCTTCAAGTGGAAATTAATTAACACTGAATGATCTTCTGAATTTGGCTTGTTTTTATTATTATAATTTATAACACTTATTCTCCAATTCAGTCTGATTTTGTTCATCTAATGTGTGAACGTGACAGAAAAATGGGCCAAAAAAGCTCAAGTGTTCAACTCCGACCTGACATCGAAACAACTTGTGATGAAAGAAATATAAAGTTCCAACAGCAGGGAATTTTTATTTAATAGGACACGCAGTGGAAGGAACATATTTTTGTTTTTACAAATCAAACCAAGATAAACAAAAGCGGGGTATTTTGACCGCCCCCCCCTCCCACAAAAAATACATATATATCTACAATATAATGGAAGCAGTAACAACATGTACTATATTTACATGCAGAGAAAGGAAGAGAGTTTGATCAATGCTTTCAAGATCCCAGTTGAAAAAATGCTCAAGATTAGTCAAGATTAAGAGTCGAACTGTTGTTGGTTCGATTCCCGGTCTCCACTGCACGCCGTTCCCCCTCTCCGGTCCGTCTTCTGTCTATTTACTGTCCAGTAAAGGCTGATGGTGCCACAACAGATTTAGGAATAAAAGTTGTTTCCATGCACCCATCAGTACAAATATACAAAATACTGCAACACACAGAGAGTAGAAAAATGAAAATACTTTGCTTGTACTCCAGTTGAAATCAAATTAAGCTGCCTGGGAGTTTTTTCGTTTGCCTTTTCTGAATAATTTGTAGTTTTCATCACATGTGAGATATTTATAGCCTAAAACGCAGACAGTTACATTTTGTCCTAAAAAAATAAAAAAATAAAAAAGTGGAGAAAATAACCTAAGTTTTAATTTCGGGTTACATAGAAGTAACAGAGTCTAAACCCTGGAAGATCTGTGTGCAGACTTAACTTTGAAGTTAAATTTGTTGCTCTAAAAATCGTCTGTTGGACTATTTTGAAATTGCTAAAATCAATAAAATCAATGACTGGATCTCCTTTGGGTCTCGTTCCTTTTTATCGCGACCACAGGCGAGTCTTTGGACCTGGATGGACTGTTAAATGAAAAGCTTTGAAGCCCCAACCCATCTCCATTTCACCAAAACACCAAAGCCTCTGCTTTTCTCCAACCAGAAGACTGACCGTGACCTGAGGTCACAAACACCACATGTATTGGGTGGAACCAGCAGCCATGTCCAGCTGTTGATCACACGACTGTGTGATATAGAAAAAAAAGTGTCAACGCTGTAGTTTCGTGAAATACACTCATTTCAATACAAAAATGTCTTTGTTTTTTGTTTGTTTGTTTTTAATTGACATGCTTTGCTGTGAAATTACTGACTACAGTTTCTCCCAGACCCTCACACAGCCGCTCCGAATTAGGAGATTGTCACTTAAAACGCCAAATAAGACACCGACGTCTCCTCTGACTGGCTGAGAGTGAACGCCTTGGCTGAATTATTAGTATATGTCACGTAAGCGTTGACATTCGTCGCTGTGTGCCCTTTAATGAGTTGCTGTGTTCACTGGCTTGTTTTTTAATGGAACTTAACGAATCGATAATGCGTTTTTCGACACTGGCAGGACATAGAAAAGGCTTGTGCAGATGTGCAATGGATGCAGCAGCAGGTGTTCCGCAGCACTGAATCAAATCCTCGACGAGTCGCTCCGTAGAGACTGAAAATAGCAAACATGGACGCTCTCCCTTACAAATCTGAGTTGTGAAGCTGCAGGGGTGAGACGAGGACAGCGCAAGTTCTGAAAAAAAAATAACAAAATAAATTAAAAAAACAAAAGAGTTACTTTGAAGAGCAGGAGACGTTCCCCTCAGCAGGCATGTGTGTTGGCGCAGCGTTTAATGAATGAAGCTGTTATTATAATTTGGGCTGCTCATTCCTTTCCCGTGTAAACCGCTTTGAATGGTTTCCCCCACAGTTCAGCTGAGGACAGGGGAGCTATTAGTCTGCCTTCCAGTGCAATAACTGCGGACTCACGCTGTGCCAGAGTGTATGTGGTGGGGATTGTTTGTTCTGGATGCAGACACTGATTTTTCTGAATGTGTCTGCGTTTTGTTTGTGTGCAACAAGCAAAGCCGTTGTTTATCTGGAACCTTGAAGAGGCTGAGGCTCTCAAACCTGCAAGAGGGATTATAACTGTTGTTCCTCCACTAATCACAAACAACTGCTCATATTATGCGTGTCTAAGGTCAGCTTATCGACTCTGCAAAGTTATGTTGCTAATGCCCGAGCAAGCCGGCCATTTGACGTAATAAACGTGAAATGGCCGAAGAAAACACATGATGTCCTTTGTTGCGTCATTAGCGATAGCATGTTGACGGAGGCTGTGCGCGCAAACCTGCCACTAACCCTAACCCTAACCCACTCCAAGGAACGAAACTCAGGTCTTCATTATTGAGCTGAAACCGTCTTATGCAGATGCCTCTTGGGTTGATGTCTAAATGCATTAAGTATTAAACTGAAACTGCTTTAAATGGGAGCTGTCAAATAGCCGTTTTTTCTTAGGCAAGGATCCTGCTAGCTCAGGACGCAGTAAGCTGCTGAAATCGATGCATTCTTGGGTCAAGCCGGTTATATTTTATGCAGAATGTTTCTGGCACCGACTCTTACAAAGAAATGGACGCACCAGAATCCGTCTTTCTTAACAGCCATATAATGAAACATGGCACCCTTGACTAAAGCACTGCGGTTGCCGGCTCCCAATGCCGGGTCATGAGACATTAAACCAGTGGGAAGAAGAAATACGGTTGGAATGAAAACCAAGCCTGACTCATTCCTCTGCAATCCAGTTGCAAAATAGTTTTTGTTTACTGTACTTTTAATGCTTTCATCTTTAAAGTTCCAGTGAAGTTTTGTATCGCCTTCATGGTCTTCTTGCGCCCCAGGCGAAACTCCAACTTATCCAGCATGATTAGTTTTAGTGTCCCTGACATATCAGTCGTGATTTCCAAAAGATGGAAATACGTCCAGACTGTACCACAGAACCAACGGACGGGACAGCTGCAGAACCCAAGATGGTTTCAACTAATTAAACCATCATGTGGACCAAACATAAACCCTGATAGGTTAAACGATCAATAGTTCTAATAGAACCATTTGAGTCCAATAACAATTAATTTGTTTTCTATAAAATATGCAAGTAGAGCTCATTGATGGGTAATTTAGTCGAGACGGGTCAGCATGAACTAATAAGTCTTCAATAAAAGTTTTTTCTTTTTAATTGTTGTGTGTTTAGGCTATAGATGGTTCATCTGTAATCAAGTGGGAATGAGTTTACCTTCAGGCCAGGTTATTTAAGGATTCAGTTTTTGATGTCAGTTTGTTCGAGCACAAAAGTATTTCAACATTACCAGGAGACCAGGATAAGGACTCATGGTACAACATGGAAAGGGACAGATTTGAGTCAACTGGTGTAGTCAAACGTTTTCCTTGCAGCTCAGTTTAGTAGTTTGCAACTGTTTAGACATTTGAAACGTTCTACATTTTTCATCATTTGTCATCCACTAACAATGGTAACGTCTTCATTTCACATTCACTTTGTGGTTCAATAACCACGATCCATCTCAAAATGGATTAAAGTAACTTTATTTCACATGGACATGGTCATATAAAAATCTTAATTCATGAGCTTCCCTATTCCAAAGTTCAGAAACTTCTTTAAAAGTCCTTTAGTCTTCTTGCTCCCAGTCTTCCTTGATGGTGGCCACAGCACCCCTGGTGGGAGCGATGGTGACGGCACCCTTGACAGCGAGACCAATAGTGGTGCCGACTTTTGCCACAAACCCCTTGGTGGTGGCAATACTGGGTTTGATGCCAATCGGTCCCATTGGTGTGACGTCAAAGTCTTGATGCCTGCAACGTTCACAGTTCTGTTTTTCACTGGACTCTGTCTCACTACCCACAGTCACAGTTCTGTTGTTGTCCTCAACCACAGTTAAAGTGATGGCATTGGCTACAGCCATGTTGCTGTTAACAGTCCTATATGATAGTGTTGAGGCCAGTCTGGGGTTTTCTCTAGGTCCCTCTCACCATTTGAAAATCTTCATGTCAAGGTTAACTGGCTGTTCCCACTTGCACCCTTCGGCGTTTTCCTTGTCATGCTACTAATAGTCAGTGCCATATGGCACAACTGATCAAATCAAACTACCCAGCAGACTGGGATTGCTTTGTTTCATTACCCTGTCATAAAGCTAATTGAACAAACAATGCATGTGGGGTTCCCCAAGGCTTGGTTTACAGCCCACTTCTTTGTATCAGTCACATTCTCTGAATAGCTCAGATTATAGAGCAGGATAATTCAAAAGTATTTCACCACATGCCCA